GAAAGGTCATAAAATGGGGCAAAAGTCACTTAACAAATGTCTTGCTTAGCAACATAAATGTTGGCTTCAATTATGGTTGTAAGTTGAGGACTACCTGTAGAGTAAAATATGTGAGGTAAAACTTGACCTGATAAATTCATAGGCCTGTATTTTTCTTCGTAACAATATAGAAATGCTTAACCATTTAATAGATAAATTATTAGAATTCTTTATTGGCCAAGTGTGATTGGACACACAAGGAACTTGTCTTTGGTGCATATGCTCTCAGTGTACATAAAGAAAAATAAAATACATTCATCAAGAATCATAAGATACAACACTTAGTGATAGTCATAAGATACTAAGTAAGCAATCAAATCATACTAGGAAACAAACAAAACAATATAAATTATAAAGATACAAGCAACGTGGTTATAGTCATAAGTGGGAAGAGATAGGTACTAGGCAGGGATGGGTTCTAAAAAATTTTACTACCGGTTCTGTGGGCGTGGCTTATTTTGTGGGCGTGGCTTGATGGTCATGTGACAATTATTTAGGATTTAGCAGAGATACTGGTCTACCAGGCTTTTAACTGCTTGCAGAGCTGTACCAATCTACCCATTTATTTTTGCAGGCACTAATCTACTCATGTATTTTTGCAGGCACCGGTCTACTCATTTGTTTTCTTTTAACACTGATCAGCTGTAGGGCGGCCCTTTGAAGCCCCACAGCAAGAGTTTAAACAGTTTTTTTTCCCTCTAGCCATCAGCTGGGACTCAGGAGGCAGCAATAGATTGGGGGTGGGGCCAAATAAAAGGTAAGAATAACGCGGGAGGTGGGTGGGTGGGGCGCGGGGGGGCAGAACCAGTTCGGTGATGTCATATCGTCACCGCTACCAGCTTGGGAGAACCGGGCCGAACCGGGAGGAACCCACCACTGGTACTAGGAAGGATGAGAAGAAGAATAGTAATACAGTCTTAGTAAATTGTTTGACAGTGTTGTGGGAATTAGTTGTTTAGCAGAGTGATGGCATTTGGGGAAAAAACTGTCCTTGTGTCTAGTTGTTCTATAGTGTCTAGTCTTCAACATTGGGAGTTTGGTGGCTCTCCATCTAAATATTAGACAATTATTTCTGCAATAAGCCAAGTTGGATAGATGAGGCCACCTGCTGTGACAGCTAATGTGATAATAATATATTAAATACATGCATAATATACTGTTTCTGTTTTTTGGAAGTCGATTACTTTTTTTCTTGGCAGGTTATGCATTACCTCAGATTGTACCCAATTTGGGGACAAGAATTGATGAGACAAGGGAATATATATATATATATTCTTCGTAAAAATGTTCTTCACGAGTTAAATTGATTTTATAAAACAAGCAGGCCAAAAGAATAGGTGTGCTTTTTCTGTTCAATTTTTTTGGGGCAATTTTCCCAACAAAATTCTAGCAAAAAGAAGGCCCAGTAATTAAGAGAGGGGGAGACAATGAGAGTGTTAATTTTATATGCAGATGAGATTAATAAATTAAGGACATTTGCTTGCATATAAATGAGAAGACAGCCCATTTATATGCTTAATCATAACTTTGTTCTTTTTCTTTGCCCAAAGTTTGCAAGCATTATTTTTCATACAGACAGGTTCCCTCCCTCTAAGCTGTTTTTTTTTCTTTCTCTTTTTGTGTAGAAAATAATAATAAAGATGCTTTGAATTATTTATAGCAGCTGTCCAAAAACGGCTAATCTTTTCCCACTGTCAGTGAATGAGGAGGTAAAGTTGGGTGTATATCATTTTATCTACTTACTAAGCAAAACCTATGCATCCTTTTCTGAAAACAAGCTATTTTACTTATGAGTAAAGCATTTTTAATACATTTTCTGTATAATAATGACTGATTGGTCATTGATACACCCAGGATCACAAGTCTTGGTTCTCCATAATCCATCTGAACTTCTCTTCAATTTGCTGGGATAATAGTTCGGTTTACAAAGTTTTTTTCTGTTTCTAAAATTCCCTTCTAAAATTCCTTTCCTAGCAGCAAAGAAATGTTGGGGAAAATCTCATGGGAGAAATGAGATGCAGGGAATCCTCGACTTATGACCACAATTGGGAAACAGAATTGCTAAGCAAGATGGTTGTTATGTGAGTTGCCATCCGATCTTGTGACTTTTTTTTGTCACAGTTGTTTAGTGAATAACATGGCTGTTAAGCAAATATGGCTTCCCTAATTGACTCTGCTTGTTGAAGGCAGAGCTGGGAAGCTCACAAATGGGAATCACATGATCCCAGAATACTATCATTGCTGTAAATCAATCCTGGTTTATTTCGATCACATGAGCATGGGGGATGCAGTGGCCCTCATAAGGACCAGTTCTGGTGGGATTCAAATTTTTTTACTACCGGTTCTGTGGGTGTGGTTTGGTGGACATGCAGGGGAAAGATACTGTAAAATCTACATTCCCTCCCCACTCCAGGGGAAGGTTACTGCAAAATCCCCATTTCTCCCCAATCAGCTGGGACAGATTAGATGGGGGTGGGGCCAGTCAGAGGTGGTATTTACCGGTTCTCCGAACTACTCAAAATTTCCTCTACCGGTTCTCCAGAACTGGTCAGAACCTGCTGAAACCGACCTCTGGACGGTTGTAAGTCACTTTTTTTTCAGTGCCACTGTAACTTTGAATGGTCACCGAACAAATGGTTGTAACTTGAGGACTACCTATAGCTATAGTAACCAAGGCCAGCAACCAATAGGATTAAAAAGTTTAAATGGCAGCTTACCAGTGGTGAAATGTAAAATTTGTCACTACCTGTTCTGTGGGCATGGCTTGGTGGTGGTGGGATAATGTGACTGAGTGGGCGTGGCCAACTTCTTCTTTTTTTTAACTTTTAAAAGCATTTTTTCCTACAACCTCAAGAGGTTGTAGAAAAAATGCTTTTAAAAGCCTCTGACGATCAGACAACTCAGCTGGGATCGTCAGAGGCTTTTAAAAGCATTTTTTTTTTACTTTTAAAAGGATTTTTTCAGCCAAAGAGGTTGTAGAAAAAAATGCTTTTAAAAGTAAAAAAGAACAGCCTCTGATGATCGCGTGGGTCAGCTAGGCATGTGGGGGGGGGCGCGCAGGGACTTTTGCTACCGGTTCTCCGAACCACCTGCCACCATCGCTACCGGATCATGTGATCCGGTCCGAACCGGGAGTATTTCACCCCTGCAGCTTACCCCTCATATTTTTTTAATATGTGTCTTGCATGTAACCCACATAAGAAGCAGGACTTCAATTGCACAAGCATGGCTGCCATATTGATTTTTTTAAAAAAAAAAAATCTTGCTTTCAAATAATAACTATACTGCTCGAGCTAGGCTGTTTTAAAATAAAATATTGTAAGATGTTGCAAAATCCTTTTGCCTTCCATCGTTCCCAACATCAGGGTCTTTTCCAAGGAGTCCTCTCTTCTCATTTGGTGGCCAAAAAACTTCAGCTTCAGCTTCAGTCCTTCCAAAGAACAGTCAAGGTCGATTTCCTTTAGGATTGACTGGTTTGATTTTCTTGCTTTCCATGGGACTCTCAAGATTAAAAGCATGATAGTGATAGAAAAACTCCTAACAGAAAACAAAATGGGAATATTTAAAGCCGGGGAGTGGGCCTTTCTAAAGCCAAAAAGCCAAGTATTAGTATAGGTGGTCCTCAATTTACGATCACAATTGAGCCCAAAATTTCTGTTGTTAAGTGAGACATATATTGTGAGTTTTGCCCCATTTTATTACCTTCCTTGCCACAGCTTTTAAGTGAATCACCGCAGTTGATAAGATGGTTGTTAAGTGAATCTCGCTTCCTCACTGACTTTGCTTGTCAGAAGGTCTCAAAAGGTGATCACATGACCTTGGGACACACAGCAACCGTCATAAGTATGAACCAGTCGCCAAGCATCTGAATTTTGATCACTTGGATGATAGGGCTATTTCTAACTGTGAAAAACATTCATAACTGTGAAAAACAGTGATGTCACTTTTTCAGTGCCGTTGTAACTTTGAACGGACACTAAATGAACTGTTGTAAATCAAGGACTATCTGTAATTCCACCAGCAGTACCAACCTCTACCTCCAACAATCGGATAAAATCAAAATCACCCCCCAGGAGAAAGTCAACAGAAATTCTCAAGCTCTCAGGGAATAGGAAGGAAAACAGATGCCTCTTTTAGGTAAAGGTAAAGGTTCCCCTTGCACATATGTGCTAATCGTTCCCGAATCTAGGGGGCAGTGTTCATCTCTGTTTCAAAGCCAAAGAGCCAGCACTGTCCGAAGACATCAACGCCAAAGGCGCATGGGATGCTGTTACCTTCCCAGCAAAGGTGGTCCCTATTTTTCTACTTGCATTTTTTACGTGCTTTCGAACTGCTAGGTTGGCAGAAGCTGGGACAAGTAACGGGAGCTCACCCCATTACGCGGCACTAGGGATTCGAACTGCTGAACTGCCGACCTTTCGATCGACAAGCTCAGCATCTTAGCCACTGAGCCACCGCGTCCCGTATGCCTCTTTTACTGGGGCAAAAAAAAAAAATGACTTCTGAAAAATGACAAGGCCAATTTCAACAAAACATCGTTGGAAGTCACTGAAGCAAAATTCTGGAGCTTTATTCTCATCCAATAGGCTTGTCCTTAACTTTTTAATCATTCACTTTCAACAGACATTAGAGTACCCGCTACATGTTCAATCAGATTCATTGCCTTTCTCTCTGTTGGAAGATGCCCAAAACGATATAAGTCATCAGACCCAGGTCTTCCAAATCAGCATCAAACAGATTAATGGGACGACTCGCCCTTCTTTCTTGCTTTTAATATCCTGTTTCTGTCCTTTACAGATGACTTTTAGACTCTCTCTGTATTGTTATCATGTGTTAATATGATAGTGCTTATCCCATCTTTTTTTTTCCTAGCCCTTGTGAACAAGAACAACGGCAGCTCTCTAATTCATAAGGAAAAATGTACGATGCGCTACCCACCAATAATATCTGAATATACTTACATACTTTTTGAGCCCAGGTTTTGGTGCTGGATGGAAAAAATGTCACTGGATTCACCTCAGTGGCGGGATTCAAATTTTTTTACTACCGGTTCTGTGGGCGTGGTTTGGTGGGCATGGCCAGGGGGGTGACAAGCAGGACTCGGCCTCCTGCACCCCCTTAGGAGCAAAAACAGGCCACGGGGAAGACACGCCATTCCCCCCACGGCCTGCTTTGGGCCTAGGAGGCCTCCCTGAAGCCTCCTGGGAGTGAAAATGGGCACGGGGGGGCACACTGGCCCCCCACGCCCCATTTTGGGCCTAGGAGGCTTCTCTGCACTTACCTGAGAGCCAAAATGGGATGCGTGGGTACTCCAGGAAGGGGCGGGGCAGGAAGGGACAGGGCCAGCCAGCAATTTAACTACTACCAGTTTGCCCAAACCAGCTGAATCCCATTACTGATTAACCTGGTTTATATTTTAGCATATTATTTATCCAGCTTTTCTTTTCATTCCTAGCAACTAGTTTGTGGGGTAGGCTGAGAGGACAGATAATTTATTTTCATTTATTTATTAAATTTCTATGCTGCCCATTTCATTAATACTGCGACTCTGGGCAGTTTACACTACAGCAACTCTGGGCAGCTTACAATTTAATGCAAAGATTGTCAGATGTAAATGCCTTATTCTCCAATGTGTAAATAATGTATATATGGAACATCAGAGGTTAACTTATTCTTTGGACTTTAATGTATTCATAACTTACCACTCCCATTCCTAGCTCCACCCCTTGTATATATAAAGAGCCACCCTCACCATTCTCGTTGCTTCTACCTTGAATATTCAGTGAATATAGAATGCCTATCATAATTAAAAAGAAATATATTTAAAGCTTTAACTTCTATTATCTTTATTGAGTCTGATCCTGGAAATATTGCAACAAGCTGGTAGCAGAGGATGGTTAATTGACTCAATAAGTAATTAAAAATGTCCAAGAAAGATAGGCCCAACACCAGGGCCTACAGCAAAGAAATAGAAACTGATCAAGAGATGATCAACGAATCCACCAATGCGATTTCGAGAGAATCCGAAGAATACACCACTGAAGAAGAAGAACTAATGAGTGAAAATAATGACCAGAAAGAAATCGAAATAGAAAATAACGAACTCAGGTCAGAGATATTAAAGATACTAAAAAGCCAAAAGAATGATGAAAGTCTCATCGCGGACCTCCAGGAGATGCTGAAGAACAGCGGAGCAGCGAGAGAGAAAAAACGTCATTAAAGAAAAACCCAAAGATCAAAAAATCGTAAGTGAGATGACTACTGAGAAAATAGTTGTTAAAAAGAAAAGATGTGATCCCGCGCGAAATTTTGAATGGCAGCCATCTTGGTTTCAACGAACTTCAAAAGAGAATGGAGCAGAGCCAATCAAAACACTCAGTTCAAAATTTCTGGCGCGAAAAACACTATCAGACGAAGAAAGTGAGAAAGAAGTCTCAAACTCTTCAGATGATCCAAAATCAGAAAGTGAAGACGATTTAACAAAATCTCAAGTAAAATCAGCAATGAAAACGCTTTTTGCTGCTTTTGAGCCAAGACTGAAAATTACCAAGACATCTACGAAGAAGCAAGAAATCAAACCGGCGACTCAAGACCTGCACGCTCCCATCCTGACTTCGAAAGCGACGACGCCCGAGCCCAGAGAGCCATGCCGATTTCGCCCTACACCACAGACAAAATCGAATACCAACGCACACAAAAAGAAGAAAAGAACCGTCACCACCACCAGAACCCCAAAAACCGAGCCAGAGACCGACTCATCTGAGGAGGAGCGGATCGAGAGAGCTGAAAGGGAGAGAACCTTCCACGACGCCACCAAAGAAGAAATGAACAACGCGCATGTGCGAAACTACGTAGACGACCCAGAAGGACTTGAACTGGCCAGAGAACCGCGCAGACTCATTGCAAGCATCCCAATGCCGTTCTGTAATTTCCTGCACTTGAGAGATCACGGACTGCCCCAGGTTGTAAGTAATGGACAGAATAATGTAGATAACTTACCCAGTGACTTCCCAAAACTTAGAATTGATGGCATTAATTTACAAGAGTGGTATCAACAGCTTCAGGTTATTTTCATGAAAGAAAATTTACTATTCTTTATAACTAGCCCTCCAAGAAGACCTTGGACTTTAAAAATAGATTGTTTACATCATAGAGCATTTTTCATAATAATATCTAGCGTGTCTCCTGCAATGTATCATAGCATCAAACCAAACCTAACTGTATCAGAAATAATTCAATGCATGTTTAATCTATTTCACAGCGATAGCGTAGCTACAACCACAAGAATGTCTAAGGATTTCTTTTCCTCTAGAGTAAAACCAGGGGTTTCTATAAGTGAGCATTTGATAAATCTAAACAAAATAAGAGCTGAGTTACAATTGAGGGGGAAGTGATTTCAGATCAAACAATGAAAAGTGTTATTATCAATTCACTTGATCCATCATGGGATAGCTTTATGTCACACTTAGATACCATTAATTTGGGATATTTATCCATAGAAAGTCTATCTAACAAATTGATAGCAGAAGACAATTCAAGAAAAAATCGATCCAATAACCAAACAGACCACAAACCTTTTAGGAAAGTAGTCTTTCAAGATAAACATAATGAGGCCTTTAGATGCTACAATTGTGGATCCAGGGAACATAGTAGAAGAGACTGCCCCAAAGTCTCAAGAGAGAGACATAGACCAGAATATAGGAGCAAATATAATTACAGACAATCTTCCACAGATAGACACAAATATAGAAGCCCACCAAATTACAAAGAAGGTAGAGGGGGTAGAGAAAATTCAAAAGAGAGGAAATCTGGGTCACTGAATGGGCTAAATAAACAAGACAGCACCAGAACACAGCAGGATGAGAATAACAATTGGCTTATTGATTCTGGTGCAACAAATCACACCACCAACAACAAAAGTATATTATCTTCATTTATAGAAGATAAGTTTGTGATAAAGGTAGCTAATCAAGAAAAGGTTCAAGTACTAGGCAAAGGAAATGTGACCTTGCCTGATCTAGGGAAAATAGAGGGGGTATTATTAATCCCAGAAATACCTCACAACATACTAAGTGCCATAAAATTAAGCAGAGAATCTGATATCAATATAGTTTTCTCAAAGGGGAAAGCAACTATAGAAAAGAACAAAACAAATGTAGGTACTGTAATGATAAAAGGAGGTCTACCCTATCTGATAACTAAAGAAAGATGTTTACATAACATTGATTCAAATATGGAAGATTGTATTGAAGCAGATGATGAAAATGTCAGTAACAGTGACAATGATGAGTGTAGAATAACTCATGATCACAAAAACACATACAAGGAAAAGAAACCAAAAATAGGTAAACCAATTCATGATGAGTGTGCTCACATCTTACACAGGAAGTTAGGACATGCAAGCTTTCCTGTAGTACAAAAAATGACTGAACACGCAGAAGGTGTCAAAATAAAAAATTGTGAAAATTATTTGGAATGCTCAGTATGTAAGTCCACCAAACTAAAAACCAGTCCCAGACCAAAAAAATCTAACAGATCAACTAACAATATTTTTGATTTGGTACATATGGACTTAGTTGGTCCATTAAGTCCCTCAATTACCTATAGAAAACGTTACTTCCTAACAATAGTGGATGACTACAGCCGATATGGTTTTGTTTACACATTAAAGCACAAGGATGAAACATTTCAGAAATTTAAGGAATTCTACAAACGTATAGAAACACAACATAATATCAGAATAAAACAAATTATGACAGATAGGGGATGTGAGTTCATGTCTAAAGAATTCTCCCAATGGTTAAAGGATAGAGGAATGTTACATTTCACGTCCAATCCTTTTTCTGCATTTCAAAATGGAGTTGCAGAGAGGAAAAATTCCACACTACAAACCATGATTAGGTGCACATTAGAGGATGCTGGTTTAGGCAAACAATTTTGGTCAGAGGCATTACATTATTCGAATTACACTCAAAATAGAACCTGGTCCAGTATTGTGAATAAGACACCATATGAGGTGATGTACAATAGAAAACCCAAATTATCACACATGCACATATTTGGAGTCACTGCAGACGTACACATACCTAAACAATTGAGGAGAAAGGGAGAAAACGTATCCAGGAGATTAAGATTCATGGGATACGAAACTGGAACCAAAGGGTACAGATTTATTGATAGTAATAACAAATTTATAGTATCCAGAACAGCTGTGTTCCATGAACAGGCCAATTGGTCAAAATTGCACCTTAATGAAATATTTCCTAATAAATGTAAAGATACGATATCTTGCAAGGAAGGAACAACAGAAAATCAAAATATTAACAAAAGTAAGGACAAAACCAAAACTTGGACTAATAGTCAGCATAAAATAAAGACAGACACATTAACAAAAAAGGAAGCTAGATATTTGCATGATAACCATAGCAAGCCTGAAAGAACTATTAGAAACAATAGAAACCAAATACCAAATAAATACAAAGATTACATAATGCATATGAATGGAGAACAAATAACACCTAATACATATGAAGAAGTATTGAAACTTCCACATGAAGAAAGAGAAAAATGGGAACTAGCTATGGAAAAAGAGATGGAAAGTTTACAAGGATTAAATGTATTCACACCTGCGATCGCACCTAAGGATAAAACAATTATAGGTACCAGGTGGATTTATAAAATTAAGAACTTAGAAGGAGGCAATACCTTATACAAGGCTAGACTAGTTGCACAAGGCTATGCACAAAAATATCCAGAAGACTATACTGATACATATTCACCCACAGTGAGAACAGAGAGTGTCAAAACAGCCCTTGTAGTAGCATCTGCACTCAATCTGGACGTATTCCAATATGACATACAGACCGCATACTTACATGCAAAATTAGATAAGGAAATATATGTAAGAGCACCACACAGTCAATACACTAATAAGAACGAAATTTGGTTATTAAATAAGAGTCTGTACGGATTAAAGCAATCCGGCAAAAGATGGTACGATTGCTTGGTAAAAGTACTTA